AAGTTTTACTGACAAAAACATTTGAAAAAGTTTATGCCCTTGAGATTATCGCTGAAAAGTATGGACACACCATATTGAGACTTCCCCCCTATTTTTGTGTTTTCAATCCCATCGAGTTGATTTGGGGAAAATTGAAACAAAGCATCAGACGTAAAAATAATTTTCCAAAGTTTTATGAGAAAGTGATAGAACTAGTTAAAGAAGAAGTATCAAATATTACCAAAGAAGACTGACAGAAAAGGATTAAAAAAGTAATTTTAGTTGAAAAAGACTATATGGAGAATGGACACTTCCATATCAATGGTGGAAATAAATTCATTATTGATTCAAATGACGACAGTGATAGTGAAACGGAGAATATGGAAGAGGAATTATTAGAAGCTTTCGAAGAAATTTAGTGAAGTGTTTTTGAAGCGATGTTACTCCAAGATATTTTATGTTTTGGTATCGCAATTTAACAAAATCCAACCCCTATAGACACAACTAAAAACAAACCTTCTTATTATCCTTATCAACATAAAGTAACAGCTTACTAGATCCACAGACTCCTTAGTATTCCTATTTCAACAGGTTATATATATATACTTACACTTTCAAAACAATGACATTTAAAGGAAAGGCATAAGGAAAGATGAAAAAACTCCTAACTAAACAGAACATCAACTTAGCATACAAAACGGATAACTATTCATACATATAAAAGACATACAAACAAACAACAAATCCAATATCGACAATGACAACAAATCAGGTTTTTATAAACTAAAATATGGCTCGTACCCAAAAGTTTATATTGGAAGAAAATCTAGAAATTTCAAAAGCAGAATCTCTGAACACAAGAATGTCAAAGTCTCCTGCATATAAGAAGAGATGGACTTCAGTGTTTCGGAACAGATTCAGGCGAATCCAGGGGACTTCTTTGTTTTCAGCTCGTTGATAAGACAGAGGCATATGAGAAGGTAGAAGGAATTAACCTTCCACCTCTGTTCAAATGATTCTCATAAAAATTTCCTACAATTAGTCGAATCGTCAGTACCAATAATTTACCTGTTCTTGAATTTACATGCTCACCAATTTCAAAATTCTGTTGATTAAGGTCAATCATGTATGAATTGAATTGTAAATTGATNCGCATATATTTTCAATAAGTTATTTTCTGTTATTACAATGTATCTGTTCCTTTAGCAATTAGCGTATAAAAATACTATTTTTCTTTCAGATTTCAGCTGAAAATTCTTCTCTTTCTTCATTTGCCTCTGATATGGATTCTGCATCATCCCCCATGGAGGAATCGTCCAAGATAAAAGACATTATAGAATGTTACGAGAAGCGAACCTCCCCTAGTGCCACAAACGGTCGTGTTGATAATACAAATAGGGTGGAAAGAGTCAAAAACTCTATTCAGGAAACGTTAGATGCGAGTTTTACAAACGACTGTGCCTTGAGAGATTCAGACTCGGAAAACAATGACGAAAGTAAAGTATCCGATATTATCAAGAAATTTGAAACGTATAGGCAGACTATGCCCAAATATTGCAGATCGCAAGTGAGCACGGATACTTTGTTCTATTGCTGCATGATCATTGAAAGGGTTCGGGACGAGGCTCAAATAAAGTTCAAATATCCCTCATGTGTAAGTTACAAGTTACTTTCTGAATTTTTTCTCTATTTTACTAGTTTTTCTTCATTCTGGGCCATTTCAAAGTTATCACCGTTTTTGGGCCTACAAATGAGTAACTATTAGTTTAACACCTTAGAATTAACAGTTACAGATCAACTTTGAAGAGATAAACAATCAAAATCAATAGGAATTATTTTGACAGGAATTACTTCCACTGCTTTTTTGGGTATATAACCTTCCACAATCTGAAAAATAAATAAAGCTATATAAATCAATATAGAGACAGTAATAAAGGGCAAACTGAAAAGTTCACCCCGAAAAATACTGCATAATATAAACCACTGAAGATTCCGATTAGTCAGTAACGTGTCGTATTCATAAATTTTGCTTACAAATTGGAAGAAAACAAATATTTTTACTTAGCTTTTTTTAGTGGTCGACGATTCGGAAAACAATCTGTTTCCGTTTTCAAAACCTGCAGGTCACTATAGAGCTATCGCAATTTTGACGGATGTCAAAAGAACTATAGCATCACAATTTGAGGCGACAGTTTTATAGTGAATTTCAGTTTTTGAAAACGGGAAAATATTGTTTTCCGAAACGCCGTCATTAATACTGTCCACGTTTTATTGGATCGATCTAAAGAAATTGAAGAAAAAGTTGGAACATGATTTAGAGCCCACAATCTGAAACTAAATGATGACAAGTCTCAGAGGCTACTCGTAACGACCCGTCAGTGTGAACAACAAGGCCAGAATGTGAAGCTACTTGGGGTTACTTTAGACTCTAAACTGAATTGGAATGCTCATATAGATCAATCAAAACATAAACTGTCGAGCATATTATCTCTTCTGCGACAGCTCAGACATATTTCAAACTAAGAAACTTTGAGAACAGTTTATTTCTCACTGTTTCAGTCTCATATGGGTTACACCATTAGTATCACCATCATTTATGCTGATGATACTAATCAGTTAATCGCGGAGATTAATCTAGCAAAATCGGTGGAAATATCAAATATTGCAGCAAATATGTTTTATGAATGGTGTGTCGATAACGGACTATCAGTTGATATACAAAAGACATTTTTCATGTTATTCCAGCCAAAGAATATTCGTTATGATTATAGTCCATTAATTAGGATGAATCATAAGTCTATAGAACAAGTTGATCACATTAAATTTTTTGGAATTTATATGGATCATATGCTTACATAGGAAATTCGTATAAACAATTTAGTATCCAAATTGAGCAGTATTTGCTTTGTTATTCAACAACTGTCTCTTTGGATATTCTTAAACTAATTCCTTATCAAGCTATGGTCTGATATTCTGGGGTAACTCTGCTCACGTACATAAAGTATTTATTATACAGAAAAAAATTATAAGATGTATGGTCAAAGCTCATTATCAGGCGAGCTGTAGACCAATATTCAAAAGACTGTCCATTCTGACCTTGCCTTGTATGTATATATATTCAATAACCAGCATCATCAAAAAAGAAAAACATAGTCATGTGAGAGGAAATACTCTACATGAGTATACCACTCGCAATGCAAGTGAAATACGTCCACCTAGTCCTAGCACAAAACTCTTTCACATATCTGGGTATCAAGTGTTATAACCAAAGCGTAAAATTAATTGGTAAAATAAAAAATTTCGAAGTTTTCAAAACAACATTCCATGACTTTTTAATTAATCATGGGTTTTATCCTGTAGATCAGTTTTTAAATTTTTTTATAAAAACTTTTTCTGTTACGCTTTCAGGTTGAAATTCCGCAAAATCTAGAAGACCTTTGCTTTCCAGAAAGTGAGAACGTCCCCCTTGACATCGAGAATACTTCTCAAAACTATTCCCTTCTGATCACCAATGATAAAGGTGAGCGCATGTATGGATACTGTCGAAGGGTACTGCCGGAAGGTTCGACTTGTTGTCTGCCCCTGGCGTACTGCATTCTCAGCAAACACCGAGCACCGAGGTAAGCTTTCTGCAATATTCATTTTCAGAATACGTTCCGTGGGTTTTTAAATGAGTGTATAAGTAAAATCTAGTCCATTCACTGGGAATCGGCCGATACTTGATTGAAATCCATAACGTATTTACCTAATCCAGGTACAGGTATTATCACACCAGACTACCTGAGTCAACATAAACACGTTTTACGCAACTTACCTAATCCAGGGACAGGTATTGGCACACCAAACCACCTGTGTTTGGCACACCAAACCACCTCTACGCAGCCGTAATATCTAGTCATCGGAGATAAAGTCAGGATGTATATCTGAAGAAGCTAGCCACTCCCGCTAGCTAAACGTCAGGAAGAAGTTCCAAAAGTCGACAGCTTTCAAACCCGAAAAATAGTGACATTGAAAATCTCGACCGCGAAAGCCTCAACTATCATAATTCATTTTCAAAAAGCGTGCAGTAATTAATCACTTGAAACAAAAAATAACAATTCCAATGGCGTGTTAATTTTTCATACAAGAATTTCCCATGACATTGTAACGGAACGACAGCGCAAGGTTTGTAGAGAAAAAAATGGACCTTGATCTCATATTACAGGTTTAAATTTGAATAAATAACTAGAAAGAAGAGGGCGTAAAGAACAAAAAAAAGTTAGCACTCAGAAACTTACCGATGGTCTAGTTATTTCTAAGGTTTTGATATAAGGCTCGTGGTGGTGGAAGAAAGAGTCCTTTCATAGCAAGGCGGCATCTAGGTTATCCAGAAATACTCTTGCGTAACACTATAATTGTAACTATATGAAAAAGTGAAATTAATGAATAGGCAATAATTTGGCGTTACTTTGCGAGGCGTTCAGTCTCTGTCTACAAAGAATGCTAGTGCTGCTTGGGATATAATGTCAATAATAATAACTGCTAGACTTAATCTACAAAATTAAAATGGTTTCTGCAACATTCTGCCCTGCATAATAGGGGGGGTCTTTCAATAAAATCAGAAGGAAAAGTGCCCCGAGAAGCGATATCTACGGGGTTATTTTTAATTGAAAGCTTTTATTTAACTTGTTAACAAATCGTGCAAGTTTAATTTGACCCACTTCCCGGTATCCGATTGACCTGAAATTTTGCATGCTGGTCCAGAACCGATGACAATGCATGTTAATCATAAATGTGACCTGATGCTGCTGCCAGGATCGGCTCCGCGGTCTCCTCAGCTGTCATTGGTTTACAGATGGATAAAAAACACCTTCCGGTTCTGGTGCAGTTCGCCTCTGTCTGGAAAATGATGAAATTGCAGAGCATATACTTTGTGCCTGCCCCGCTGGGGACCGAATCAGGTTCTTTGAGTTCAGCAGATCCGTACTCTCACCATCTGAGCTGAAAGACCACTCACCATACAAACTAATCGGCTTCGTCAAAAAGCTGGGTTTATTTGGCCGACTGTGAATAGGTGTGAGCCACAATAAACCCTTATGGAATGCGGTGGAGGGTCGAATAGACCCACTCACTTTAGACCTACCCACCTACCTCAGCGGTCAATAGCATAGAAGACACTGAATGGTGTAGTAGGTTGTAAGAACCCATATTTATTTGCAATGTAAAAAAATATTATCTACCATCCTCTAAGTTCCCAGAGTAAGAGGGTCCATCACGCAATGTGAGCAACAGGCACAAGAGGCATACCATGACTTGTGTAATGTGAGATGGGCATTATTAGCATTGGTTCCTTGAGTTTTTCTGTTGAAGGACTCTCCATTTATAGATGGACTTTCGTATTGATCAATAACTATCGATTGAAACTAAAAAATATAAAATGAAATAATGATAAAAAACTTTTAAAACAAGCTTTTATTTAAGTGTCCCAAAAAGATCAAAATAAAATTTTGAATCACACTAACCACATTCATTTATGACTTTACAGAATTTAAATTATAATAAAACCTTGTCGCGATGCCTAGAAGAAATCTCTACATATTCAATCAGATAAAATTCAAATTAAGAAACATTCTGACAGATAAATGTTCAAGAAGTACCGAAAACTTATGTGAATTTCTGGAACTTCATCTAGCTTTTCCTAATATGACTAATAACCAGTCCGTGCAAAGTTTAT